CATCCATCCATCCATCCATCCATCCATCCATCCATCCATCCATCCATTTTCTGTACACGCTTCTTCCTTTCAGGGTCGCGTGGGTCACTGGTGCCCATTTCCAGCAGTCACAGTGCGAGGGGCAGGGTACACCCTGGACAGGTCGCAAGTCCATCACAGGGCCACACATAGAGACAAGGCTTTAGAATATCGATACAGTATCGAGAAATGAAATATCGCGATATTTCAGCGTATCGATATTTTCTTACACCCCTAATGGATACACATTATACTATTTCATATTTCGTCAACAAACCAACTTTTATCATTCTCTTAAACATAAACATTGATCTGGCGTATTTAACACTCCAGATTATTCCATAATCTTATTCCTTGGATTGAAGAACACCGCTCCTTCAAACTGGTTAGGTTTCACAAACATCTCTATACCCTTGAGATTGTAACAACTCTCTCTTTTAACTCAATTTAATTGGATTTTTAAAGGTAATGTTTTTGTACATAACTGATAAAATACTATAATCAACCAAACTTCAATAACTTCAACTGATAAAATAATGTATTTGATGGGTGGCTGTAATGTTTTAGTGATAATTCTTGTGGCTCTTTTCTGCAGAACAAAATATAGTAATTGTTTTACATGCTTTTCCCCAAACTTTAATACAGTAGATTAAGTGTGGAACAATTATTGCATCATACACCATATACAGAGCTTTATCATTAAAATCACTCCTTTACTTTGCACAATACTGCAATGTATTTAGAAGTTTCCATATAAGTTTTTCATCAATGATGACACCCAAAAACTTCACCTCACTGACTCTACTAATCTCACCATCATTCCCTTTTATTACTGAATATCATGTAGTTAGTTTTATCCAAATTTAATGACAATTTATTAAGTTTAAACCAAGTTTGTTCATTTCCAAAAGGTCCTGACACAATTACCAAATCATTCACATGTAAAATAAATAACTTTGGTCCAAGTACAGAACCCTGAGGAACTCCAAATGGTAGTACAGAGTTCAGATGTAACATTATTTATTTGTACAAACTGTTTCCTGTTTTTTAGATAACTAGATAGGTCCTCTAATGCTGTATTTATATAACTTTCCAAGGAGAATAATGTGGTTGTTTGTGTCAAATGCTTTCTTTGAATCAACATAAATAATAACACAATACTGTGGGAGCCATCGATGTAGAATTATTTGCTCTAAACTCTTATTTACTGCTGCTTAAAACAATAGATTTATTGATAAATTGATCTAATCTGGTGACAAATAATTTATCTAAAATTTTTGAAAACTGTGGCAACAAGGACAATGGTCTAATTGTTGATCAGACTCAGAGGGAAAAACATAATATGTCCCAAGAAGAAGACCAAAGTGCTGACTCAGCACAAGTGCTGACTTTTCTTCTTCACCTGCAGTGTCTCTCTGGGAATGATGCTGGTGCCACCTTCTTCTTCGCCATGACAATGCCATTCAGCCTCCTGTCCAGCGACGAGGAGCAACAGAGGATGCTGGGGAACGCGAGACATCTGTATCCTGGGGCGGAGGATGAGGAGGACGAGGAGGAAGAGGAAGAGGAGGAAATGGAGGAGGACGAGCGGGACGAGGAAGGGGAGGAGGAGGAGAACGGCGAGCTGGAGGGCGATGAGGATGACGAGGAGGAGGAGGACGAGGAGATCAGGCGAGATGGTCTGTCCCGGACAGGCAGAGGCGACGGGCACAGGCAGTCGGGCAAGTTCGCCGGGCGACCCGCCACGGACCGGCAGACCGGCAGGAAGGGGAAGCCTGGACACACCGCCAATCCGTACTCGTCCAACCCCGGGCCCACGCACCAACAAGCGGCCAATCAGGCGCAGCAGCCGAGGAGGCTGAAGGAGCGCACCGCCAACTCCGTGCCATCTGAGGACACCCACATCGCCATGATGGTGTTCCGCATCGGCATCCCAGACATCAAGCAAACGGTTAGTGAGCGCGCACACACACACACACACACACACACACACACACACACACACACACACACAC